CCGACGGAGCCTTCGACGGCGATTTGCTCGGAGGCAATGACGGCGATGCCGACGGCGATTGCGCGATTGTGGAGCCGATCAACAATGCGATCAAAATCATTACCGCAAAACTTCTGGCTGCCATTTCTCTCTCTGAATCAAAAATCAGCAGCAGAAAACGAAGAATCTAGAGAGAGAAAGTGCGTAAGATGAAGAAATCGAGAGACGAAGAGAGAGAAAGTGAGTTCTGAGAAGAAACGAGCAGCAGAGAGGAAGTATAAATAGAAGGGGAAAGTGAGAACCATTGGAGTCAAAGCTGAAACTCACGCCAGCCGTTAGATCGGACTACAAATTTCAATTAGGGATCAGAGCGTGATCAACGGCGGATGTGGATCCTAAATTTTAGGTCGGCGTAGTAATGGACGTAGCGAATCAAAGCCCAAAAGACACGGCTGGTTTTTGCGAAGGCTAAAGGGGAAGAATTCTAGCTGGCTTGCCTTGGGCTTTCTGCGTGCGGGTCCACCATAAAAGTACAGTTGTCAATTAATCTGATACCTACACGTGGACGCTTCTGATTATCCGAACCTTTTAACCGTTTGATTTAATCATTTAATACTGAGATACGAGAATTTGTAACGGTCAGAAAACTTTGGACCGCGTCGTGACCGTTAGTTTGCGGGGCGGGTCCCACTAGGTCTAAATATGTAAATTAAGTATTTATTGATAATCTGAATGAAACAATATTTAATAGTGTATATATTTCCATTTTTTATAACATATTTAATGAGTTATATAACTGATTTTTCTAAAGTGGGGGTAGAGATTCCAATTTTAAATCAGTTTAACTCTGCTTAAGTTGATTATCTTATTATAATTGTGAAAAACACATAATATTTTGGTTTAAAAAAAACTATTTTGGGTTCATTTTCTTTTTCTATTTCCTCAAAATACATGAACTTACAATCGGTATGACGAAGATGTCTTAATTAGTTGAGCTAAGGTTTAGCGTTTAAATGTATTTTAGTGCCTAAATTATTTAGTTGTTATCCGACTTATTTCTTTGAGGTTAACTTGTTTAGTATAATTAAAACAAAAACAAAACAACAAATTTCAAACTTTAAAAACAAGTTTAAACTTTAAAAAATACATACATGACGATTAATATGAGCAAACCCCTGCAAATTATAATTGAATTAAACTCGTCAATTCGAACAAATAGTTTAGGTGAAATAAGAGTGCACTTATTATCATTTTAACATCAATACATCAATCTCCCCCACACAATTGCTAGAAAAAAAATAAATTAAACATATAACTAACAACCACCCATCACCAACCAAACTCTACTACCCCAAATTACCATAAAATTAGACTTCCACAAATAATTGGTACTATACCTACATACACACACATTATTTTTTCCTTCTTTGTAAGCATTAAAATTTTGTCCAACTACCCTCAAGAAATCTTTTACAAAAGTTAAAAAAGGAGGAGCCATAATCTTCTCACTTGTGAACTTTTTTTCTCCCTTTTCTTTTTTGTAGTAAATTCTCTCTCTCTCTCTCTCTCTCTCTGTTTCTTTTTGGTCCAAACCCACATGATTGGTACTAAGTTCAACAAAGCATGCATATGCCAATGCCCAATGTCCAATGCCATTAAAATTTTCTTTATGGAAAACCACAAGTTGTTCCCTAAAGCAATGAGTTGGTAATGCTGTGGCCATTCCATTTCACATGGCTTCTTGTTTGTGTAGCAAGTCAAAATAACTCACTGTTCAAGCAAATGTCCCATGGCCCCACCCCCTCATTTTCCACCCATCTTTCGAGTTTCTCCGGCCCTATTTATAGATCTTGTATCACTCTTAAAAATAACTGTATTTCTCGTACCTTAAATATTGATATTGTCCGCTTTGGACATAATCCTCACAGACTTTACTCTTAGTTTCACCTAAAAAAATTTCATACGAATAAAGATAATTGTCTTTATCTATATACTACATCTACTTTCTATCAAATGAGATTAACGTAATTGTAAAGATCATATTATAATTCATAGTATAAGTAGATAAAAATAATGTCCGAGTATGTTAAAAAAATATGTAATTTTAATCTTTTTGAAGGGATTTATGATATGATCGACTCGTAAAGATTGAGATAGTTAACGACTTATACGAGATGGAATTTAAAAACTGTCAGCAATAAACCATAATAATTCATAAAATTCACAGACATTGCCATTAAAAAATAAATAATAATAAAAAATCCGTCGACTTGGTTCTCCTCAATTTGAATTGCAAGCCCAACAATAGTACCCTTTTCTTGGGCCGATTTTTATGGGCTTTGGAAAAAGGATACCTACTGTTTTTATTTTTTTTATTTTTAATAATTTTGGGATCATTGCGTTAGTTTTGAAGTTTATAATTTTTTAATTGTCTCTAAGTTTTAAATAATAATTTGATGTAGTTCAGGTTCTTAATATTGTTGACATGACATATTTATTAAATGACAAAAGTGAGTTATTTTAGATCTACAAAATGTATAATTCGATAAAATAAAGTAACACGTGTAATCTATCATTTCTTTGAAGCAATGTATTAAATCTCTTTTATAGATCATGTCATTTATTTCGTATAATTATATAATTATTCATATTGTTTGTTCGATACATAATACTCAAATCAAGTATATTTATCTAATAGGTATATTTATCTAGTAGGTGTGTCACGCTATCATTCCTTTACCATAGGATAGAAATTATATAGAACCACAATTTAAATTTCAGTGAGATATAATTTTTTAATTTAGAAACTATATGAATACAAACAACCAATTTTAAACTAAGAAGTTTACGATTTAACCCTTAATCCAATTGGGTTATTTGCTTGAAAATATACTGATCATCTGAAAGCTTTTAATTCAAATTTTTGTGTTATACATTAGTAACATGTTACATGTTACCACGTTAAATCTCAAATGCATAAAGTTCAAATTGGTTTAAAAAATCTTCTATCCATTTTATTGAAACTTACCTTCTTCTTCTCTTTCTTTTTATTATTATTTTTATTATTATTATTATTATTATTATTATATTATTATTATTAGGTTTAAATAATATTTTGGTATATCTACGTTCCAATTTGGTCCATTTTGGTCTCTATATACTTTCAAAACTTTCATTTGGTCTTACTTTTGCGCCATGACAATCTCACTCGAATTACAAGGACCTACACATATTAGTACAGTATACCGGGGTCCCCGGCCAGAACCACACGTGCAAGTTTCCCTGCATGTGGCTCGTCCGTGCTTTCCGAGGCGCTGCCTGTGACTCAGCATGGGAGAAGGGGGCGGAACTGCACACTTTCGTGTTCAGAGCATTGTCCGAGTGAATAGGCAGCGCCTACCACGCAAAGCTTTCTTGAAGAGGCTGGGCTGGTTCCTTTTCTAGCCCGCCAACGATTTGTACACTACTTAATAAATTTCTTAAAATATAGTTGTTGATGTTGAAATTCAGTCTCCTGGGATCTCATCAAATTCGCACAAATCTTCTAAAATAAAGGGATCGACGAGACCTAACTACAAAACAGAATAACTCTAAGAGCGGTGTGGCATTTGGCTCCGATACTTAAGTTAGTACCAGAGTAGTCGGGTATAGAGATTAGGGTTTTTAAGCATACCTCTAGGGTTTAGCTTACCATCGTATTTATATAGGTCGAATCCTAACCCCTTCAAGATCTACGTCAGTTTGAACCCTAATCCCTTTAGGATTTACGTAAGTTGAATCCTTATGCACTCGGGAGATCTTAAACGGCGCCAAGCAGTGCTCGACGCAGACAGTCGCTGGGTCCCAACCCACTTACCTCTCTTCGGGTCCACTCCTTCTTCGGCTCTCTTTCTTCTTTTGAGTTATTTAGTCTGATCTCTATTTTCTTCCTATAACAATAGCCCTAACTTTGTAGTAAAAGGTTTTCATCGTGTATACAATTCGTTTTAAAATTATGCAAATAGAGACTAAAAACACTTTTTTAAAATACATGAACAAAAATGATACGCTTCTGTATGATATTTAGTGAGTTGGAATATATCAAGAGAATAAATTTAAGCCCTCTTACAATATAGTCGAAAATCCTATCAACTTATTATTTGCAAATTAAAAAAATCTCTGTCTAATTTTCCTTTAACTTTGTACCGATTTATAATACTAATTACAGTGTCATATAAATTTATTATAAATCAATTTAACATTAACTAAAGAATCACAAAGGTATAATATAAAATTATTAAAATATAAGTGACTAAATTGAAATTTTTTAATGAAAAACAAATCACACACAAACATTAAAACATGTAATTAGCCAAAACTTTAGAAACTTTAAAACATGATCAAACCAAACCTCCATAGTAATGAGTAATTGATATAATTAAGGTTTTACACTTTGGCATCCGCATTTAGTTAATTAATTGAAAAATTAAGAATCAATCACCCCTTCAATTCAACACATACAAATTAAAATAAAACAATAATAATAAGAATCTGCAATAATTCCATCAAAACGGTTCACTTCATCGGAGGAAATTAAATCTAGCTAGGCCATTAAAGCCGCCGCCATTAATCCAACTGCAACAGTACACCCAGAAATTGTGAATCTGTTTATAGCGCCGCCGTTGTCTGCCGGTGGCGTCGGCGCTGGCGCTGGCGCTGGGGGCATTAACCCTCCATAGGGCGACGGAGGACTCGCCGGAGCTTTAGAGGATTTTGGAGCCTTCGTTGGCGCCGGAGCCGGAGCTGCTGGTTTCGTTTTCGACGGCGAAGGTGCGTGACCGGGAGTCTTCGCCGCCGGTGGCGGAGTGGCCGGAGACAAAGTCGGTGAATGGGACGTCGGAACTGGGCTTACTTCCGGTGGGTTGGCCGCCGCCGGCGGAGTCGGCACATGGGATGACGGAACGGGGCTGAGCTCCGGTGGGTTTTCCGACGGCGGCGCCTCCGCCGTTGGTGGAGAGGAAGGCGACTCGGTACCGGGAATCCATTGCCACGGCGGCGAGTCGGGGCTCGGAGCGGGAGACGGCAGCGGGGAGTTGGCGCCGGCGGAAACGAGCAGAAGCGCCGCCGTCAAAACGTTCAGAACGGTGAAAGAAGCCATTGTAGAGAAATGGGAGAGCTGTGAGGAAGACGATGGCAGGAGAGTATATATATAGAAGAGATTAAAATTAATCAAGATGAAGATCCAACGGCTCATTAAATTTAGAATTATTTATTTTCTTCATTAATTAGATTATATTGGGGAAAAATGAGAAAAAAAAAAGGTTTGTGGAGTTCTACTACTAGTTTGTGCCATGCCACTAAGTACATATTCAAGCTGTCCCTTAAAATATAATTTTTAAAAAATAAATTATATTTTAGCCTGATTCAGTCATTAGATTTGTAATTTTTAAAATTAATTAATCATTTAATAACCAGTTAAATTCATTCTTTTGAAATTAGATATGTGTACGTGGGTTCAAAGTACTTCTTTCATATAGATATTCGACGTAATTAAGTAAATGAATGAATTTTTGTTAATTAATTTTTAAAATGATTAACTATCCAAAAATAAATAAAAAGTTGTGGCATTTAAAAAAACTTTTTTTTTTGTAATCATTTTTAAAAATATATTGATTTTGTGTTGTTGGGTAAAATTTTTCTATACTTCTTTTATCATGCTTAATTAATCTATTGTTGGACCTAATCTAATTATTTAAAGAATAAATTATACATTATACATAGGGTAAGACTTAACAGGCAATCTAGGAATGACATTCTTGGAGAGGTTATTGTTCTTTCTGTTTCTTATTTTCAATTCTTTTTTTTTTTAGAAACAAGGGATTTTTGTAAATGCTTTCTGTTTTTTTTCCTTTTATTATATCTTTTAAAAACCTTCCCATAATTTAGATCTTAGACATTTTAAACAAAAGGGTGAAAAATAATTATTTTTGGAGGCTAGAATACGCCCTACTATATGGCACACCAAGAAAATATATCATTTCATGTAACTTTTCCCTAACTACTCTTCAGTTCAGAGTGATCCTCAAATAGTTCGGGAGACCATTAATAGCCTAAATAAAGACTGATATGGAAGTATCTTGCATAATCATCTATAATTGACTAATGGATTTCATAAACGACTTAATTAAGAGACCAAAGTCATAAGATCCACTACCTCTCTCCTATATAAATAGACATCCATTTATGTACACAAATACAAAATTCTAATTTCTCTGGAGGGTTATAGGTTATTGGATTTGTACTAAACTTGAGCGTCGTAGAGTTCGTTCTCTTTGTACAGGTCTTTCCTCATATAGATCGCTATGCATAGCTCAATTCAATCTGGGTCGAATGTACTTTCAAACCGGTTTGATTTAGATATTATATGAAATGCATTTCCATATATATTATAATGTGATAAATGATTATAAATTATTGGAATAAAAATCTACCAAAACCATGCAAAGCAGTCTAAATTATTCTATTCTACACATTGTCCAAAATTTTCTCATTTTTAGTTGATAAAATTTTTTTATTGGACTCCAAAATATATATATATATATATACAGAAATTGATAAAATAGATAAAACTTTTTGGAAAGATAATCAATGCATTGACTAATTTAGTCATTGTTCATATGAGAGTAAACATATAATAAGATTATTATTACAAAAAAATAGAGGAAGAGAAGAAGAAAAATGAAAGTATGCATATATAATTATTATTTAAACATGCATTTTACTAATCCAAATGATACCCAAAAACACTCTCATGGGTACAATGCGAAAATAACCACAAATTAAACAAATTTTGATGAACTTCATGAAGGAATATTAAAGCGTAATAGACAACATTATTTTATCAAAATAGCCGCCCACAAAATCAAAACAACATCCAAGAAGCAGCCACCATGCCAACAGCCACAGACCAAGAGAATGAAAAGCTGTTCATCACGGCGGAGTTGTGCCCGGTCGGAGGAGGAGCGGCGGGGCCTTCGACCGGGTGGGGCGGTTGGGTCAGCTGCGGCGGAGGAGCTGCAGGAGTACTACTACCGCCCTTCGGAGGAGGAGCCTCAGAGGATGGAGGGTGTGCGGGCGAGGAACCATGATCGCCGTGCGCATGAGCGGAGCAAACGAGCAGCAGCGCCACCAGCATGGAGGCGACAACGGCGGAGGGAGCCATTGTACTGAAAAGAAGAAAAAAGATTGCCAAAGAGGAGACTTTGAGGAAGGCTAACTTTGTGTAGAGATGTATTTATAAGCTCTAATCAAATGAAGGATTCTAATTTTTAATAAATCCACTTATATTATATATTTTTATTATTGGTTTATTTATTTGCCTAAAGTTCTATTTTCTTATATTTATTTGATGAGAATCATGTATTTGGAAAATAGTTGACATAAACACCAATTAAATTTAATTCATATATTGAGTTGTATTTATATTTTGAAATATTCTATTTTGATTTTTAAATTTCTACAAAAGTATTCTTTTTATAAAAAAATTAGCAATAATAATATAGGATATATATTTTTTTAATATTTTAAAGATCAAAATAAAATATTTGAAAATCTAACAATCAAAATGAAATCTGCCAATCATGTTCAATAATATAAATTGAAACTCAATTAATAAAAAAAATGTTTTTGTATATAAAAATATGTGAAATAGGAAAGTCAAAATTGGGTTAGGGGATTTGCGCTGGGTTTATGCTCCACCAGTAAGGTTATAACAGTTGTCTTATTCCTCTTGTATATAATTATCATCAATTTTTTATTAATTTTTCTAAATAATTTTTTTAAAATTATATGAGAGTGAAAGATTTTTTTTTTTAATTACAAATTATCTGGAAAACTGTTGAATTGATAGTTGTGAATTGTGATGTCAAAAATAAAATCGGAGTCGTGTTGATCAGAATTTTCAATCTCTATTCTTTTGATTTTAACTTTCAATTAAATTATTGAGCCTAATAATTTAGAAATGATATGTATGAATATATATTAAATTTAAATTCTACCTTTTCTCAATTTTTTTTTAATTCTATCTAGAATATATTAAGTAGATTAATAGTTTCCGAACTATTTAAATACTAGTTTAATTCATGATGTCCAATATTTTTATTTAATCGTCGAACATTACATGAATTTGTCTCTAATTTTCTATTAATTTTTTTTCTTCACTTTAAAATTTCAATTTATCTTTCCAAAGCTGTTCTCTTCAATAGTTTTTTCTCTAAAATCTGTTTTAACTTATCTATTTTCAAAATTTTTCTATTCTCATAAAGATTTCTTTTTCTTCTCTAATTTTTATCTCTCCAAAATTTCTCTCACTCTATTTCAATTATTCTGAAATTTTATCTTTCTAAATGTTTTCTCACTTTAAATTAAGTGTGAAAATTAATGCATGGAAAAAAAATTAAAATTGGTTGTTCCTCTCTAAAAAGGGATATGGTTAAATTAATTAAATTAAAATTTGATCATTTTTTATTCTAATTATTGTATAGTTTAAATATATATATATAAACATTACTAAATGAATATGTCGGTATTTCCTTGTTTTGTGAAAAACAGAAAACAGTATTTCAAAAAAGAACAGCAAACAGGAGAGAAAACAGTATTCCAAAATATCGTGACATATCGTCGCTATTATGAAAATATGGCCGACGACCGATATCTTCACGACTTTTTCAATATATCAGGCTGCCGATGCAGGCCCATGATATTGGGCCTCGCTGGAGTAGCAATAGCCCATGATGAGAAGCCTGTTCTGTGAGATGAAAAAGGGCGAAATTTTTAAAAAGATAAAACAAAATTGTCGTAGTTTTGAAACTAATAACCAAAATATAGGTTGATAAATTGCATACGACTTTGGTAAATCCGCGTTAGATGAGTATAATTTAGGCTTAAATTGCATGAGATATATAAGAATTAAATGTAAATCACAGGTTAATCGTACGATTATAATGGTGATAAATAATCACCTGACAGTAGAGTTGTTACGTGTAGATCATGCATATTTCTTTTTTCTTAAAAAATGATCGTGAACAAGCATATTGCATTCTAATGGTTAAATTTTTCTTTTAGTTTTTTCCATGTGCAACAGTGAGATTTTCTTGTATTTTTCCCTTCTCTATCTTATTCTCTCTTCTCTCTTTCATTATTCTTCGCTTACATTTCGTCATTGTATCAACCTTCGCCATTGTTTGTGTTCAGACGTGATCATATCACCTCCTTCCCCATTCATCAAACTAGGACGATATTAGAAGAGGGGAAGCGAAGGAGGGAAGAGAAAGAGAGGAGAAAAAGGAGAAAGGAGAAAGGAGAAGGGAGAGAAAAGGAAAAGATGAATAAATAAAACTATTACTTTAAAGTAATAAAATAACTTTTAAAAAATAAAAAATATATTTTAAAATATTACTAATTTGAAGAAATACCTTAACAACTAAATTTTATTATTTAAACTACATTTTTAATAAGTTATTTTTAAACTACCTTGCTTTAAAAATTCCTTATTTATTTGAAGTTATTTAAACTTCATTCAATGGGTATGGGATAACATTTATAAGAAGGTAAATTTTTGACATGTACATTTATGAATAAATCAATTCAAATAGTGTTTATTGTCAACATTCATCTTATTTTTATGCACGTGTTACTTTAAGTTATTAATATAGGTGCTTAAAACGATAGCTTATGAAATAAATAATTTAATCTTCAATTCTAAATTTAAGCATAGCATATTATATAATTCACGGTCACAAATGTTTCCCGAAAATTAAACTAGTTTGAATGCAACAAATGAAACGAAATTAATAGTCATGGTACCCCAGTTTCAGTACAAGTACAACTTAGGCTTCATCTTCATTTTGCTTATGGGTCAGCCAGCAGCTGCTGCACCATTTCACTCCCATAGATGAACTTTTTTTTCTCATTCTCCACATCACTTGCTCGAGTTTAAGCCACGGCATCACTCGATGCACTTGCATTGCCATTCGATTTTTCGTGCTCCTCGATCAGATTTCTAAATCTACCACCGATATCCAAGTTGTAGACGTGCCCCATTTTGGCGCGCTTCGTCTCGAGGTATCTCCTGTTGTCCTTTGTAATTGGGGTTATCAGGGGAACTCGCCCTGAAACTGCCAACCCATACCCCTTCAGTCCTATGTACTTTTTGGGATTGTTTGTCATCAGCTTCATTGTTCTCACCCCAAGATCCCTTAGAATCTACACACCAACATACACAGCAAATTCGATACAATTGGATTCGATTTTTTTAAAAAGGAATGTACTCGTGCGATCAGATCAAGTCATTTAGTTGTTACCTGTGCACCAATGCCATATTCACGAGAATCAACTGGCAGTCCCAGTTCCTCATTGGCTTCAACAGTATCCCGCCCCTCATCTTGCAAGTTATACGCACGAAGTTTGTGGCCCAAACCGATGCCCCGACCTTCATGTCCGCGGAGATACACCAACACACCCCTGCCTGCTGCCTCGATCAGTTGCATCGCCAGAGCAAGTTGGTTTCCACAGTCGCATCTAGCTGATCCGAAAATATCTCCAGTGAGGCATTCGGAGTGCACCCTCACCAGAATATCTTGTCCATCGCCAATATCACCCTGCACGAAGTAAACAGTCCATAAATTTACAGCGAAGTGTTTGATCCCATCACATCTCAGAAAGTCCATCTAATGGAGCACGCCATACATCCACACACTCAACACTCGAGAGAAACTCGCTAGAGCAAGAAATTTTGTGGGAAAAAATGGTTCATCAGTTTTTGTATAGCTAACATAAGCCTGCTTATGATATCACGAGCTCGCATACGAACTAAAAGGCGGACTGTCTCAAGAGAAACTTGGATAAAACGACAACTTCAAATAGTAGGGAGCAGGGACTTCATGGATACTATAAAAAAACTTTATATAGTTGGACAAGTAATAACAAATTTTTTAAGATGGTTTGCACTTGAAACAAAAGTAGTTTACCTTAACCATTGCAATGTGCTCAATGCCATTATCCAAGATAGATCTGTAACAATATGCCTGAAATGGTCCCCATGTAGTTGGCATGCGAGCAGCACCTCCAACACATTCGACTAATCTATCTCTCTTCCTCCGATACCTGTCGGTACCGTCATGTATTCGGTCAGATTAGTTGGATTACTAAACTCAGGGATGAGAAATGGAAAAAGAAAAATTGATGCAACATTGATTGTTTTGTTGTTAGCTTGCAATGTAGATCATGATCATAACCCAAGAAAGAAACTAGTGTTTCATATGAAGAGTGTTTCAAAATACAGGTGAAAAACTAAATATATGAAGAGCTAACACAATTAAACTCTAGCAAGAAAAATATTGGTTTACCTGACTAAATCAGCAATGGAAATGATCTTCAAGTTTTCCCGTTGAGCAAATTCACGAAGTTTCGGTAACCTAGCCATGGAACCATCTTCATCAACCACCTCACAAAGAATACCAACTGGATCTAATCCGGCAAGCATTGCAAGATCGACAGATGCTTCGGTGTGTCCAGCTCTCTTCAAAACACCACCTTCCCTGTACTTGAGTGGAAAGATATGGCCAGGCCGCTTAAAATCATAAGGTTTTGAATCTCTTGATGCAAGTTTCAGTACTGTTATTGCCCTATCACTGGCCGAGACTCCAGTGGTTGTACCTTCTCTTGCATCCTGAAAAAATAATTGTCAGAAATTTCAAGCATTAGATCTATTAACTTACTGCACAAGGATAGAAAAATGAGGAGGTAGCATAGATATTAGAAGGCCAACTATCCATCAGAAATTACATATACATCTTATCATCTTATTAGAAAAACCTTGTTCCAATCTAACCAAAATTGGCTAGTTTTCACTGCCATCTGAATCTTGAGAAAATTAAAGATTATAAAATTGCTAATAAGGAATAATAAAAGGAAGAAATTTTTCATAAAACTGTAATTTTGAACACTCTTACTGGGATTACATTTGCTAAATTGAATGATAATCCAAAATGCCAAGTGAAAAATTCATACCACTGTCACTGTAAAAGCAGTACAGAGTTTCTCCTCGTTCTCCTTTTCGTTCACCATGAGGGGAATCTGTAACCTCTCTAGATCTTCACCTTTCATCGCCACACAAACAATTCCCGTTCCATACTTTACAATGAAAGCCATGGCCTCAGGAGTTGCAGCCTGCGCTGCCATTATCAAATCTCCTTCGTTTTCTCTATCTTCATCATCGACAACAAGCACCATCTGCAACATGACTTTTCTTGTTACTAAGATGAAAAAATGAATCAAGGCAGAAAAAGAAATGCTCCCATGTCTATGACGTATCAAACAGGGAAGGAAGAGAAAAACTAGAATAATGAACAACCTTCCCCTGGCGAATATCTTCAATGGCATCTGCGACAGAAGCAAAACCTTCTGTTGGACGATCAAAATCATATTCGTCTTCGTCAACAGGAAAGCTATTACTTATAGAAGCTGAATCTGGCTGATTCTCGAGGATGGTATCATTAGCAACTACAGCATTGCCATTGGAAGAAGACAGAATTCCTCCTTCTCCAGGTATAACTGCAGCTCTTGTTTGGACTGATCCCCTGGTGCCCAAAAACAATTTGCTTGCATTGCAGTTTGAGGCTAATTCAGAAACAAGGCCAGTTGCTGTGTATGGTTTAATGTGGTTGATTCCACCAAAAGACTGYAAGTCTTTGAATCTTCTACATAAAATAAAAATCAGGCAAGATGCTTAGAGAATAACATAAAAGACATTAGTCGGTGAGGAAAATCATAGAACACATCTAGTATACTTCATTAACTTATAAAAAGCCAACTAGAAACAGAAGGTCCAAGTCTAAACCAGTCAAGGCCTACGAGGGAGGACAATGGACAAATTCCATTAAAAAATTCTTAAGCTCCAGAAGTAAAATTAAGTGGCTAGTTGCACTCCGTTGTAGAATGCTGAGAAATTATTTTATGCCAAAGTGGAACATTGAACTCTTAAGAGAAAGCATAACCCTGCTATATTCAAATAACAACAGTTAATTCCAATTGGATCAAGGAGTCAATACATAACATAAATATTTCTTCTCGCTAGAGGATCTCCTCTGCTATGCATGATGTTCTGCATTCGTTTCTCTTAAATCAATTGGTAGTAAAATGGGAGGTATCACGTTTAGTTCTCCTTTTAGATACCAAAAATTTCGACTTCTCTAATGGAGAAGGAAACAGAGGCCTCTCATGAACATAAATGTGGGATATTGGGTCTTGAGTGCTGATAGAGGAATGGATGCCTGCCTTGAAGTAAAATTCAAACAGATAAATAGTGAGTTTTGGGCAAATCATATAGCAAAAAGGATTTCATGAATGCAAAATCATGAAAACCCCACCTCCAAAATAGAGTATCAGATGAAAAATCAAGCTACAATACGCAAAATAGACACAGAAATCCATCAAAACGAGCCACCCAGAAACGAAAATTGCATTTCATTTGAACAAATTACACCCGAACAAGATGATGAATGGAGTTGACCGTCGATAAACCGAAGAGAAACACAAGGAATTGGAGAATTAAAGAGAAACCCAGATGGAAAAATCAGTCGAAAATCAGAACATAAAGTAGCTTACTGAAGATGAGAAATGGGTGCTGTAGAATGGAAGGAGACGCTTCTGAATGCCATTGGCGCTGAAAATCTCTTAGGCAGCTGAAATCGTATGAGGATTTCAGAATTTGGGTTCCAATTTATACAGCGGGAAAAGGAGGAAGAGAAATCAAACGGGGAAGGGGTGGGTGGGAAGGGCAAGGAATCAACGGAGAAGTTGTACAACAATCGGTTACTCGTAGGTGATGTAACAGATATCTCCAACGAAAGATTGGGATTTAAATAAAATAAAATTCAAAGCATAAACAGAATTTTTCTTTTTTAATTTATCATTTTCGAGTTTTCGATTAATAAAATAGCATTTCTAGCCCTGCAAGACTGCACGCATCAATAAATAATTTTCCACTGTATTAAAGAAATAAAATTCAATGCATGAACAGAATTTCATTTTTCATTTCGAGTTTTCGTTGAATAAAATAGTATTTCTTGCATTCCATGCATGAATAAATAATTTTACACTTGTAATTATTGGCATTGGAACTGAGATCCCAGATCTCAAAATATAAATTTTTTTTCAGAATTCACAATCTCAAGGATAAGAATAAATATTGTGTTATGAGATGGCAGATTTTTTTTAGTTCACAAGATCTGGTGTGGTAATTTCAACTTAATAATATATGTTTTAACCAATTATTTAAAATTCGTATGAAATAGAAAAATTCGTATGAAATGGCCGAATTGATGAATATTAGTTGGATAAATGGTTATTGATTCAAAATTGTTCATTTTCAGCTTTTTTTTTTTCCTAAATATAGATTGAAGTTAAAATTGAAAGTGATGAATAAGAATAAGCTTTTTAAATGCTAACATTATTTTAGAATCATATTGGAAGGAGGAAGAATTCTTATTATATTAATGTTTAGAGATAACACTTAGTTACAAATGTGCTAAAACATTACTCAGAATTTTGTTACTTTTAGAATACAATAAAGGTAGGAATTCAAATTTATTATCCATGAAAAAATAGTTTTCGATTTGAATTGGAAAATAATGGACTTGTTTTTTCAAGTTCAACAATATATATAGGTGGCGAAATTGAGTATAATTCAGCAATAATTGACATATCTCAAATTAAGAGGTCGTGAGTTCGATCTCCAACCTCTCGTACTAAAAAAGAACAATATACATAGGTGGACGAATTTTCAAATCTTTTAATTAATAACATATCGGACATTGTTAATGGGTAAACATAACCTTATTAAATACTTTGCGATTGAAAGGAAAAAAAAAAGTCAAAACCTCAATTTTTAGACATGATCTAGAATTTATTGCAAAATAAATAAATAAATAAATATATATATATATATATATATATATTAAATTCAGATCTTATTAGGTATATTTTATAACATGAAATTTTATAAATCAATAGATAATGTAATAAATATAAAATCACACGGTGATTTTGCCAATCAAAATATAGCTGGACGGATTAAGACAGTATCTACGAAGTTGATAGTTTGAATTCTCACTCCCACGTACTATACTAAACTAAAAGTTTCTATTTCCTTTTGATGTTTATTTTAAAATTTTACCATTTATTTAATGAAATCATAACATTTTTTATCTTAAGGTTCCAAGTAGTTTTAATAAACAATATTAATAAGCTTTTAATTCTGATTCTTTAAAATTAATAGCAAACAACATTAAAAAAAAGAAAAAAAAACTTTATTTCGATTTCTTGTAACAGGGCTTTTGAGATAATTTTTTGTTAGTACAACTGAAGAATCAAACTTACAGTTTTTTTTTTTATAGAAATATATATCTCGAACTATATACTCCATTTTAATTTTATTTTTACGATAATGAAAATGTCATAGAATATGGACATACTATTTTCTTTTTTTCCCTCTAAAATGGAGCTTTCAGAGGGGGCCAAAGGGAACGAATCTGAACTTTTTCTTTTTCACTTTAGTGTTTTTTTTTTCTTTAAGGATTTTATTTTTAGGAAATTGAGAAGTTATTTCGTGGTGCGACAGAGTTGACTATGATCCATTTCCTTTGGGTCTTATCCTTTCTCCAGAGCCTTCACTTCACTGCGGCTGGCCCACATTACCACTTGCTCCGACACGTGTAACCGAATCATCAATTCGGGTCATTTGGGTTTCAAGTTGATACCCGAATCAAAGGGTCGACCCAACAATTTCATCGACATCTTTATATATTTATAGTTCAACATTGATATAAGATGTAAGCCCAACAAAATAATGGACTAATATTAATATTATCGAATTTTAATTTATTTAAATATAATTAAATATTTTCTTTTATAATTTTTTTATAAGTATTCGTCGACATTTTCACAGATCTAAGATCTCGACATTTTTATCGATATCGATATTTAAAACTTTGATTGTAAATGAGAAGGTAGAGAATTGACTATTAATTAAAAAGAAAGTTTAGATATCTAAATTATATTCATATCGATAAAATGTTCTAAATCATAATTTTTAAACGAGAGTGTTCATCAACTAACCGCACTAGAAACAAGAAAAGAGAGGTAATTTGTCATTTTACAAGACGTTAGGACTACTTACATCATGTGTCTACAAGAATGTTTGTGTATTTTATCAAAAAAATTAGAAAGGATAAGAAAATTTCAAGATTTGCGCTTGGTTGGCGATTTATTTTCAATGTTTTCAGGTATGTATTTCATAGTAAATTTGGAAATTAAACCTCAATTTAAAAAATTATTCAAAATGTGTTGAGTAATATATTGGTAAACTGGTGATAGTTACCAATTAAATATTTAGTTAAATCTAAAATAATATTAATTAGAGGAAAATACACTTTTGATTTATGAGTTTGAGGATAAATTTCTATTTGATTCCTAAGTTTTAGAAAACGACGGTTTGATGTTCGACATTTAGAAAATAGTTATAAAAGATGTCTAAGTTTCAAAAAGTGACAGTTTAGTCTAACCTTTATAATAGTTCTAGGTCTTTGATGTTAAAGTTTAGTTAAATGAATGTTGACGTGGAGTTGTTTAATATTTTTATATTATTTTGTAAATGTCCGTTAGTTAAACTTCAATTTCCTCACTCATCTCGCCTTCTTTCTGAATAATAACTTTTAGAAAAATACAAGGGCCCAAATAACTATTTTAAAAATTTAAGAACTGGATTAAATAAAATTTGAAAGCACAAAATTCAAAATATTGAATATTTTAGAAATATAGAATTAAAATGGATCAAAATCAAAATAAAGGATTGAAATAGCGTTTAAACTTGATATTAAAATTACTTGATAAATAGATTTATAATAGGCAACTGACCCACTGAACTGTTTATTTTAAGTTGAAAATTAAACGCATTAGGACATAATAACTCAAAAAGTAATTAAATAAAGCCATCAAAGTTGAATATAATAATAAATTGTTTTGACCGTGTTACGTTCGACAGGGTTTTCTTTTTTGCAATTTTCTTTTCAAAACCAAGAATCATTTGGTACAAGAAATTTGTATTTTTGTAAAGAAAAATTACGTAAATTTATTTTATTTTTTAGTTGGATGAAAATTTGAACTTCATATATGTTTTAATTAATTCGATTATGTCCAAGTTGCATTAAAATAAGTAGATTATATTACTAAAATCAAGTTAACATGCAATCAGTAGTCTATGATTTAATATTTAAAGGTCATGAATTATAATAATAACATAATAATTATTAACATGTAATTGAAAGTCTATTATTTAATATTTAAAAGTCAATTCTAATAATAACATAATAATATTTAATTGTTACTTATCTTGATAATCAAGAGATTATGAGTTCGAATGTTTTACTAGTTGTTACTTCAAAAAAAATATAATCTAAATGTTACATCTTCACAAATTAACATATTATACTATTAATAAAAAAATATCCAGTCAATTTATCATTATTATAACTTCTAAAATACTAATGTTATAAAATTTTTATTACCTATTTCTAAAAACCCAAGAACCAAATGGCAAGAATTAAATACTCATGTCATGTTATGTAGATACAAAGACTAGAGAAAAGAAAGTAAATGGTCTTGTTCTTTTACATATATATATATATATATATATATATATATATATATATATATATATATATATATATATATTCAAATCATCTTTTTTTTTTCTTTTTGAAAAATTCAAATTATCTATTTTATGTTGTTAGTTTGAATTATTGGGACAATATCGAGAAATGAAAAATAAAAACTTCCTTGCACACCAAGACTAATTCGATATGTTTAGATGTTAGTTGGTCAGAACCAATCTAAATTTTGAGTGATGGTCAAACATGAAGATGGATGTTGACTAAACAGTTAAATTTTTTTTTTAGATCGGTATTATAGTATAATATCAAATTTCTAGAATGGAAGAATGATTATTAATTTAGAATGAGATAGTTTTGAAAGTTTCCATAATATATTATGTAATGCGTTGTGTGATCAAAAGTATTATAAATTTGGATCTAACACAAACAACTGGCCCTTTATTTGGATATGATAAAAGTAAAAGTACATAGGATCACAAAACTACTTATTTTAAAAGCACTCTCAAATACGTCGATAACCAACTATATATCAAATCTTGTATTGCGGAGAACTAATCAGCGAAAGCATCACTCTGAAGCACTAACATTGGAGTTTTGATTGAGAGGCATTAGAGCTCTTAATCCAGTATTGAATTCCAAGCCATAGACATGCCCCATTTTGGCTCTCTTTGTCTCGAGGTATTTTTTGTTGTCCTTTGTAATTGGAGTCACCAAAGGAACTCTGCCTGCAACTTCCAACCCATAACCCTTCAGCCCTATGTACTTTGCTGGATTGTTTGTCATCAGTCTCATTCTTCTCACTCCCATATCCCTTAGAATCTGCAAATAACAAATTAGTATTTGTATAATCAAAAAGAGAAAGACGCTTCGACTCTCTCGGTTGTCAAGATAATTTTGATCTGTATTTCAATATTCACATCTTTGTTTGTTTATCATCATCGTCAATCCACTGTTCATGACGATGATAACAAAATCTAGTTGATTTAAAGTTCCCGTGTTAATTACACATACATGTGCACTGAAAGTCCTCTTTCGCGATGGAATCAACAATTCATCGCCAAAGATCTTCCTCAGCGACGAATATAAATTTGTTGCTACATGTGACTTTTGGCGATGAAATGCAGACTTCGTCGATAAAAAAGGTCTTTCACGACGGGACTGTGGCAACGACCTTTGCGACAAACATTTTTCGTTGGGATACATCTTTAGCAACGAATTATTGGGTTTTATGGCTACGTAAGCGTCCGTTCAGGAGATGTCAAAATTCTTATAGTGTTATACATACCTGTGCACCGATGGCGTAGTCCCTTGAATCAATAGGCAACCCCAAATCCTCATTGGCTTCAACAGTATCCCTGCCAGCATCTTGCAAATTATATGCAAGAAGCTTGTTGCCCAAACCAATGCCCCTTCCTTCTTGTCCTCTGAGGTAAACCAACACACCTTTGCCTGCAGCCTCAATGTGTTGCATTGCCAAAGCCAGCTGCTTTCCACAGTCACATCTTGCTGATCCAAAGATGTCCCCTGTGAAGCATTCTGAGTGCACCCTCACTAGAATATCTTCTCCGTCGCTGACATCACCCTTTTTCGAGACGAACCACATACAGTATCGTACAATTGTTGAGATATATAAACGGGAATTGAATTTTTAGATTCACTTTGGAACAAATGCAGTTACCTTGACCATTGCGATGTGTTCGATGCCATCGAAAGTGGACTTGTAACAATATGCATTAAATGGACCCCATGTAGTCGGCATGCGTGTGGGAGCTCCCACACGTTCAACTAATCTCTCCCTCTTCCTCCTATATCTGTCGATAACATCAATCAAGATCAGTTTTTTTTTAGGATTCAAATCAATGACTTTATAATCAGAAACATATGTCTTAATCAATTGAGCTAAGCTCAGGTTGCATCAAGATCACTTCTTTTATTTAGGATTCAGAATACACGACTTTCTGATCGGAGACATATGTTTTAATAATTTGAGTTAAAATTAGGTTGCCATCTGTTAAGGATCCACTTTGAAAGGAGATGGACCTAACAAAGGTTTATTGTTATAATGTACATGAATTACTCTTTTTATAGTCAATTGGTTTTGAGATGAAACCTTATGAATATTAATATGACATCAGAGCTCAAAACATTAAAACAAGAATCCGATCAAGATAGATGAGTCAAAATAACCACGATGAGCTGATCTTTTGTTCGAAAACTAAATACTCTCGTATTATTAAGTCAAACAACAGAATGAAGAAAGAGAGCAGAATATTCATAAGTCTCTTTAATTAGTTGGTTATATATATGTGTGGAATGAAGGGAAATTGAAGTTTTGTGAATGGATTTGACCTGATTAAATCAGCAATGGAGATGATTTTGAGGTTATGGTGGTGAGCAAAGTGGCGAAGCTTTGGCAGCCTAGCCATGGAGCCATCGTCGTCGACCAACTCGCTGAGAATTCCGACGGGGTTGAGTCCGGCGAGCTCTGCAAGATCCACGGATGCTTCTGTGTGTCCGGGCCTCTTCAAAACGCCGCCGTCTCTGTATCTAAGCGGGAAGATGTGGCCGGGCCTCCTAAAATCCTGTGGTTTTGAGTCTCTTGATGCTAGTGCCAGCACCGTCGTCGCCCTGTCCTCGGCGGAAACTCCGGTGCTCGTACCCTCTCTCCCATCCTTCACAAGTTTATGTTTGGATATAGGAAAAGATTAAAGACGAGAATATATGTTTAACCAGTTGGTTGAATTAGACAAACTACTTTAGTATTAATTTTTCTAGGAAAATACTTTAAATCTCACTGAAAACTTGATAATGGTTAAAAAATTGACCGCTCATCGATAGTGGTCAAGACAATATACATGTGTGTTAATTACTTTTTACCTGGTACGACATTTTACACTTGAATTTAGGTTAATCTTCTCGCCTATCTCATTTTATAATTGAATTGACTTATTTTCATGCTTATTATTATTATTATTATTTGTCATATTTGCAAGTGAACCTTTATTTAAGTATTAGTTAATTTTATAAAGAAAAAGATTTTCTTTAAAACTATTCTTTGATCAGCTTTTAAATTTAGTTAGGATTTTATAAATGTTTGTGAAAATAGAATAACAAAATCAAAATCTCTCAAGTGAAAAAGAGCCGTTACCACAGTGACAGTAAAAGCAGTAGAGAAGTTGTCCTGATTATCCTTTTGATCCACCATTAATGGAATCTGCAGCCTCTCCAGATGTTCCCCTTTCATCCCCACGCAGACAATCCCTGTTCCATGCTTTACTATAAAAGCCACCGCATCCGCCGTCGCCGCCTCTGCGGCCATTATCAGATCTCCTTCGTTTTCTCTATCTTCATCGTCAACAACAACCACCATCTACAAAATCAAACCAAAAACAAAAACAAACAAACATAAAGTCTACTACTACAACCAAAGTAGTGGCTAATAACCGCTATCACCTTTCCCTGTCGTATGTCTTCGATGGCTTCTTTGATGGAAGAAAACCCTTCGGTTGGACGGTCGAGATCGGACTCGTGTGTCCAAATTGGCTGGCCGCCGATGTCGAGGATGGCATCGTCGATGACCATGGCATTGGCATTGGAAGAAGACAAGATGGCTCCGTCTCTAGTTTGGACGGAGCGATTGGTAGCTAAAAAGAGTTTGGGAGATCTGAAGATGGAGGGAAATTGATCACAAGCATAGGTGTAGGGTTTGAGAGGCAGGTAAAAACCTAGGAGGTGTTTGCATTTTCTACATGACAATAGGAGTCAGGAAAAATCAATTAGCATCTATCTTTTTGCTGACTACCACTCAAAATTTGATAACTGTGTGATGTTTTGAAAGATAGAAAAATTATATTTTCATGATGACCATCACTCAAAATTTGATAGTTTTTTGTGTTTTGGAAAATAGAAAAGTTATCTCCATTCCTACCTTTCTCTCTACTATTTGTCACAAAAAAAAAAAATTACTAAGGGTTAAATCCTTATAACAAACTAAAATGAGTTTAATCCTTTAAAAATTATTTAACTTATAAAGAAAATTTAAAAATTTTTGCCTAACAAGTCAAATACACTTTCTTTATGTTGAGTTGAAAATACTATTTTAAACCAAGCTATTAATTTTTTTWAAAAAAATATAATGTAAAAAAGTTTTTACCATTTCCAAACTTTAATCCAGACTATATGATATATCAAATATAAAATAGACAACAAAATAAACACAACTATCTATGTGAGAGCAAATATTAAAAATTTGAATTTCTTCATCCAAGTGTGTTTATGTAAGTGCAAATAAAAACTATAAAGTAAATTAAAATAATCATATACAAAAATAAATAAAAAAAAAAACAAATGGATTGGGCTTACTGAAGATGAGAAATGGATGTTGTAGAATGGCAAGAGAAACCTGTGAAAGCCATTTTAATTTGTTGAGGCTGAAAATTCTTAATTATGGAGCTCAAATATGTATGATATGTGTGAAGTTTCTTGAAGCTGGGTTCTGATTTATATAGGACGAACAATTAAGCATAATTTAAAGATTATTGAAAAAAAAAATGGAAACTTGCCAAATCCTAAATCATATTATCATTTTTTTAATTGGAGCTAATATTTAATTCGATATATATTAAGGTTGTTTGGATGTGACTTTGTTTTTAATTTTCTATATTTCAGAAACTTAAGATGGGCTCACAATTTTTTGTGTTGTTTTTCAAATTTTAATAACCTTTTTAATTTTTAGCCATAATTTCCTCCTTAAAAAAACTGATTTTTGAAGGCATTTTTAAATTGTTTTTAGAAATTAAAAGTGGAGTAAGTAATCAAGATTATAATTAAACAAGTTTTTTTTTTAAATAAGAAATAAAAAATTAATTATAAATGTTTATAGATAATTCAATTGGATTGAAAAAGATAAGAGAAAAAATAACATATATGGGAAAAATAAAGAAGAAAATATTGAAAGCCACCATCATTCTTTTAACTTTTTATTTATTTATTTTAAGAATGTATTAAATATATTAATGCTTCTATATTCTTTTTGCTCTGTTTGTTACCTCGAATTTTGAAGGAATTCAAAATCACGACGGATTTCAAATGAATTCCATTGTTTGATACCACCAGATCAAAATGATCTTATTATTTACAAATATACTACTAAATATGTATTTAACAATTTTTCAGATTAAGATTCAATTTTCAAATATGCTACCACACACAAACATTGAAAATATGAAATATATACAACTATGTTTCTCATTGAATTTATTATTTTCAAATTCATAACCAAACACACCATAGGTTAATCTTCAAATTAAAAAGTTATATCCTTATTGCACACATTATACATAAACAATATTTTGTTACTAATTTATATATTTAATATTATAAGAATGACAGTTACWTTGAATAATAATAAAAGAAAGAATAAGATATCCATATTTCTAACATAAACATAACTGATTAAGATATCCATATTTCTTCTTAGAGAGGTCGTATGTTTGAACCTCTATATCTTTTATTAGATCGTAAGTTTGATTTCTCACTCCATATATTTTTACATAATGAATTAAAAAAAAGAGAGAGAGAGAGAATGCATGAGTCACGGAGGAAGAGAGAGGGCATGAGACATGAGATGAGGGAGTTGTCCCACATGGACAAGGCATGAAAACAAAGCCATTTGACTTTATTTATCCAAACATCTAGCTACCTTCCTTATTTGCTTCTCTAATTAAGATTATTATTCAATCATTAGATCATTAAAAAGGAAAAAACAAAAACAAAAAGTTGTTAGTGTCCTATAATAGAGTCATAATTTTCTTTCATTAAAATGACTCATTCTTTTTTTAATATATAGTCCATTAGCTTTTTTTCTTAAGAGAGATTTTTTTTAGTATAACACACAGGGATGTCCTTGGTTAAAGATAAGTATCAATTACCGCTGACCTACACTTGCTTTGGCAACATGAACATATTCAATAATTAAGATATGTTGTTCTTTTTCTAGAAGTTAAAACGTTCAATCCTTCGTCCCGTATTTATTGTACTATATATATATTTATTTATTTATGAAAATAGAAATAAAGAACCTTCATATTCTTTTTCTTGACGTTAACTTTTGTTAAGAATATTTTTGTAAGTTGCATACAAATGATTGTTTTTCTATATATTAAATTTAATAATTAAGTGTAAGTAGAGGATGGTAAGAAGATCGAGACTGAAATTATTTTTATATATTTATTTAATTTTTCATAAAAAATTAAATATTTTAAATAAGTATTTGAACAAGCAAATGGTGCCTTTTCAAAAAAAAAAATTAAAAAACTAGCAAATGGTATAAATATTCGTTTTTTATGATTAAAATATATAATTTTAATATATTTATTAGTTTTTTATTTTAAAATAAAATACTAGTTTTTTTTTAATTATAATATAAGTTGGGGAAATAAGAAAAAGGTAAAATTTTTAAATTACTTCAGGTTCAAATCAAACTTTACCGATCTATTTAGGCTTCAATTAATAGTTGGGTTTCAATTAATAGTTGGTTGGCTGTGGTAAATATATTTTTGGTTCCTAAAATTTGGGCACGGTTATTTCTTCCATAGATTTTAAAATTGTATGCTTTTACCTCAAATATTTAGAAAATACTTCATTTAATCCTTGGCATTAGGTTTTCCTGTTAGCCAAATTAACGTAAAAGTGATGTGGTGCTTTTAATAATAAATCTAACCGAGTGGCACTTTTAAATTAAAAAATAATAAATAAAGAAAAAATAACTTTTTCTCTACCACCCCACCTCCTCCACTTAATATGCCTGGTCAAGAGTATTCATGAATTGGGTTGGACCGGTGTACTTTTTAGACCAAACTCAATTGTTCGGATGGTAAATTTATTCAACTCAAACAACTTTTATTCATAACTCAACCTAACCATGAAATATTTAGGTTGGGTTAGTTCCCGTCATTTATTCAAATAACTGTATTAATATCTTAAACATTTATTTATATATTTTATAATATTGAATCAAGATCGAGTAGGGACCAATGTTCTAAATGTCGACCAATACATCGCCAGTGATATATTAAAATATCACCAACATGTCGCGATATTATCCACGTAGCAACGATATTTTAAAAGATATCGTTCAAAAAAATTAAAATAGTCCGACCCACTTTAGAGGCCCAGCCCGTTTGTATTGTAAGAGGGGAGGGGGGTTTACAATTTTTCTAATTCAAATTGGATTTCTTTTTTACAATTTTCCTTTCCGACGTGGGATTCGGATTGAATCAAGATCGAGTAGGGACCAATGTTCTA